AGTTTTCCCAGCTGCTGGCCTAAGTGTCCCTGGATGCTTCCATCCATCTGTGGGGTCCCTGTCCCTTTAAGACTTTCCAAAAGCACTTGCTTTTCTTTGTCCCGGGGCGCTGGCTGTGGGGACCTGCTCAGAGGTCTTACTGTCCTGTTTCCCTAGTTTCCACCACCCCACACACACAGTGTGTCTGTGCTCTGGTGCAGATGGCTAGGGCTGGGTGTTTAGCAGTCCTGGGCTCTGTCTCCCTCCCTGCTCTGACTACTCTCCTTCCGCCAGGAGATTGGGTGAGGGGCGTTTGGGTCCCACCAGGCTGGGACTTGTATCTTACCCCCTTCGTAAGGTGCTGGGTTCTTGCAGGTGTGGATGTAGTCTGGCTGTATTCCTGTGTCTTCTGGTCTCTCTTTTAGGAAGAGTTGTCTTTGTTGTATTTTCAAAAATATATGTGGTTTTGAGTGGAGATTTCCGGTTGCTCTAGTCACACTGCCATCTTGGCTCCATCCCCCTCCATCAAATTTAAATGATAATCCTGCCAGGTAATGTAATCTTGGGTCTCTACCTTTCTGCTTCATGGCATTAAATACATCATGCCACTCCTTTCTGGCCTGTAAGGTTCCTGCTGAGATTTCTGATGTTAGCCTCATGGGCTTTCCTTTGTATGTGATCTTATTTTTGTCTCTGGCTGCTTTTAACTGTCTGTCTTTATTCTTGATCATTTCCCTTTTAATTACTATGTGTCTTGGTGTTGTCTTCCTTGGGTCCCTTGTGTTGGGAGATCTGTGTAGCTCCATGGCCTGAGAGACTATCTCCTTCCCCATATTGGGGATGTTTTTAGCAACTACCTCCTCAAAGACACTTTCTATCCCTTTCTCTCTCTTCTTCTTCTTCTTCTTCTGGTATCCCTATAATGCAAATGTTGTTCTATTTGGATTGGTCACACCATTCTTTCCATATTCTTTCATTCTTAGAGATCCTTTTTTCTCTCTGTGCCTCAGCTTCTTTGTATTCCTCTTCTCTAGTTTCTATTTCATTTATTGTCTCCTCCACCGTATCCAACCTCTTTTAATACCCTCCATCAAGTTCTTCAATGATTGGATCTCCAACCTGAATTCATTCCTGAGTTCTTGGATCTCTTTCAGTACCTCCTTTAGCATACTGATGATTTTTATTTTGAACTCCCTTGCAGGAAGAGTCACGACGTCCGTATCATTTAAATCTTTCTCGGGAATTGTATTAATAATTTTACTCTGGTCCAGGTTTCTTTGGCATTTCATATTTGTATATGTCACCCTCTAGTGCTCAGAGGCTCTATTCTGGAGCTGCTCAGCCCCTGAAGCAAGGTTGGGGGTCGCAGGGGAGTGGTATTGGTCCCTGGGGGGAAGATATGTTCCATGTTTCCTGGCTGCTGTGCCTGTCTCCACTGCCTGAACCAGTGGGTAGTGCACACAGATATCAGCTTTTGTCCCAGAGCAGTGAGATATGGATTCCTGCTTCCCCAAGCAGCCGGAATCCCAGTCTCACCAGGAACTCCACCTGTCCCAGCTTTCCAAACCCTATTCAGAAGAGTATGATGAAAGCACCATGAAATAAGATAGCTCTCAGTGCACATCTCCAGTGCTAGGTATTCAGCAGTCCCAAGCCTTCTACTCCCTCCCTGCTCAGTATCACTTCCGCCCGCCAGTGAGCTGGGGTGGGGGAAGGGCTCACGTCCCACCGGAGCATCATCTCTGGTACATTACCCTGTTTGGTGAGGTCTTCTCTTTTCTCCAGGTGCATGCAGTCTGGCTCAGTCCTCTTTTCTGCTGCTCTCTCAGGATTAGTTGTACCAACTATATTTTCTAATTGTATCCAGTTTTAGGAGGAAGCCTCTGTCTCTCCTCTCATGCCACTATCTTTAATCCTCTGTCAATGACTATCTTATTTTGTATTTTCTAAAAAATTAGTATCCTTATTTCTAATACTTGCAGGTAAACATAACGGTTTCTTATTGGTTTGTCCTAACTTGTTGCCATTCCACCTGTCTTACATGTTGTACAAATTTTCTTCCAACTCTGTTTTCTTTAAACTTTCTTGAAGTTTCTCTTGTCATTCAGAAATTTCACATCTGTTACTTCGTGTAGCCACCTTAGCTAGAACTCCTGGGAAACTTCCTGCAGCTTGTATATCAGTACTTCCTGCTTTACCTGCACTTTTATGTTACGGAGAGTTTCCTTCCTTAAACCTCATGAACCAAACTGATAGTTTCAAGCTTTTCTTCTGCAGCTTCCTCATCTCCCTCAGCCTTCACAGAATTGCAGAGAGGTAGTGTTAGGAAAGAGTATAAAACCTAAATGTGATTTATTCCCCCTAGGATGTTTAAACATTTTAACATGTTTAAAGGGCCATGTGGTGGAAGCTGCTCAGCCTGAGAGTGGGGGTGGGGGTGGGGAATTGGTATGGGTCTGGCAATACCTGTTTGAGTTTTTTTAAACCTACCGATAAGATTAAGACAAATGTAAAGGAAAGATATAATGGGCTTAGGCAACGACCGGGGAAGAATGTGAACCCTGTAGTACTCAGCCCATGAGGAACCAGGGGAGGGACTCATGCACTAGGAGATAAATTACTGGTGCCAATCTCTCCAGGTGTGCCTGCTCACCAGACACCCGATCTTGCAAGACCGTCATTAAAGCCTCAGTCTGCTGTTCTCTTTGTCTCCATGTCCACTTATTGAATTTGGACCAGTGAGTGTGTTTCTCACAGTAGGACCTCGCTCTCGACTAGGCTTTGGCTTAAGGGAGTCTTGTGGCTGGTTTGATCTTCTATCCAGACCAGTGTAACTTCCTCCATATCAGCAATAAGGCTGCTTCACTTTCTTATCATTCATGTTCACTGGAGGAGCACTTTTAATTTCCTTTAGGAACTTTGTCTTTGCATTCACAACTTGGCTGTTTGTCACAAGAAGCCTAGCTTTCAGCCCACATGGACTTTTGACCTGCTTTCTCCACTAAGCTAATCATTTCTAGCTTTTGATTTAAAGTGAGAGATGCGGGCTTTTCCTTTCACTTGAACACTTAAGAGGCCATTGTAGGATTGTTGATTGGCCTGATTTCAGTATTGTTGTGTCTCAAGGCCTCTATTGAGAGACCTGAGGAGAGAAGAGATGGAGGAATGGCGGGCCAGTGGATCAGTTAAAACACACACACTTACTGAGTTCAACAGCTTATATGGGAGCAGTTTGTGGTGCCCTGAATAATTACAATGGTAAAATCAAAGATCACTGATCACAGATCACCATCACAAATTTAACAATAATGAAAACCTTGAAATATCATGTGAATTACCAAAATTGACAGAGACATGAAGTGAGCAAGTGTTGGAAAAATGATGCTAATAGACTTGCTTGACACAGGGTTGCCACAAACCTTCCATTTGTAAAAAATGCAGTATCTGTGAAGTGCAATACAATAGGTATGCCCTTAGTCACAGGTTCCAGGGGTTAGGTTCCATGTTTTGGTTGGGTGAGGCATTTTTCTGCCTACCAGAGCTGCATTTATAACACATAAAGTTTTCATCTATTTTGGGTTTTGGGCCCACATCTCTGAGATCTGTTCTGTTATGTTGATTGACTTGTCTATTCTGTGTCCATTCTGTATTTCTTTGATCATTGTAAGTTTATAGAAACTTTTATTATTTGACAAAGACAACATCCTCTTGATTAATCTTTTTCCTGGGCAGTGCTAGTCCAGTCTTTCTTCTTTATGTCAGCCACAGTGATTTTGGTAGTAATTTTGGAGTTGCCCTGGCAGCAATCATTTTATTAAAAATTTCTAAGCTTTTTATAAAAAATTCTCATGCCAGACATAAAAAAGAAAGTTCTTAAGGCATTGATCTCAAAACATAAACTTTGGGGCTATTGTTGAGAATAAGGATTTTGGTTTGGGGACAAACATTTTACTGAAGACTAGCTTGTCAGTCTGCTTCTGACCTGCAGACAAGGGGGGAGACACGATGAAATATCGAAGATCTGAAAGGACCAGCCAGGGGACTCGAGGCTTCACTGCACAAGAGTAATGCCGAAAAGGCACTTCTCATATTTATTGATTGAGCAAATGAATTTAAAATGAACTTAAACGTCATTATCTGGCCTTGAGGCTAGCCCAAGGACACGATGCTTCTCAAGGATTCCGAAACCATGTGAGGGAGGCTGCGAGCCATGACAACTGCCTTGGTTCTCATCATTCTGTTTTTGACCACACATCAAGAGTTGTGAGAAAAACAATCAAGTCATATGTATTTGCACATTTGATTTCTATATTACTTGATATATATATTAATCCCATTAATCCTACATTTCCCCCTTTAAGTAGTACATAGATAAATATAACAAGTAGACAGTTTCTAACAGAAGGTTTTTTAACATAGCTTACTTCTCCACACTTTGCAGTATAAAATAAAAGTCTATTTCTTGAATTTATGTGAAGTAGAATAAAGATAGAAAATAAATTTAGTGCAATTAGGAGGTAATTGCAGATGAGCAGATCTATACTTATAAACTGAATTTTGATTTGAGCTGGGCAAAGGCAACAAAGCATCTACAAGTGCAGATTTCTCTCACAACTTGGAGGGGGTGAGGTTTTAAGCCCCCGTTGGGGGGGGGGAGGCTTAAAACCTCACCCCCGTTGGCCCCCAGTTTCTCACCTGATGGCCCCCCTGCGATTGTGCCTGTCTTAGGTTGTTCCTCCCTTGAGGAATCTTACCCGTCTCTGGCTAACTAGACATCTCCCGGGGCCATACAGGGAGATGAAAGTTGGTAAGTGAGAGAGAAGTAATATCCTTTGAAAAGGTTACTTTACCACTTTTTTGCAGATTTATGCCCAGGGCCTGTATGTCCAGCACTTCTCTTGAGATATCTTTGCCAGTTGAAAGAAATGTGGTGCACTGTAATTTTAAGTATGAAGCACGAACTCTAGTAAAGAGCTGTATTTAGGAAGAAAGAAGTTATAAGAGTAACAGATGGAAGTAAATATAAGAAAATTGATTATTTATTTGACATAATTTCCTGTAAAGTAATGTAAGCATGTACAGGTTTTAATAAACTACCAATTAAATTATGAACACACATCAACAGAACAGGAATACAGATACATAGCAAAAGCATACCTACATTACTGGTCATATCCAATGAAACTAAGAAAATCAGTTAGGTAACCCAGGTATTAGTGAAAGCTTATTGACAATATGATGGATATCATCTAATTGATTTTGAGTAGTTTGAGAAAAATCACACAAGTTAAAACAGCCCATTCCTGGAAACTGTTCACATCTTATATGCTTTTTTAGTAGCAGATAGTCTATAGTAGTGTGATTCTGAAGCATCGTAACTCATACTTCTCCTTGCTCTTGGTTGAGTTCAGATAATAAAGAAGCAGTCAAGGTTGTTGTCTCACTGTACGCATAGGCCAGCTTAGATATCTCTTTTTGCATTCCAACGACAAGTCCAGGAACTGGCAGGAGGATGCAGCTGCAACTGCAAGAGCAGAAGGATCTAAAAGTTTCAAGTTGTCATCACCATCAGATGGCAGAGCTCAGAGAAGTCTCTTGTGCTTATATCCTGGATGGTCTTTTAGAGTAGGAAGAATGCGTCCTACATTACAAACACCTCGATAGTGTGAAGAAAGGGCTTGATACATTGTTACTACACAAAAATACCTAACTGTTTGGAAATCTATATCTAGAAGACCATTTTACATTGATTGTAAAATTATAATAAGAGGGCACATGAGTACAATTAATACATACACAGTCAGTGATTATAGTAGTATGAACAGGTAAATTTAATTGGGCATCAACAGTCTACTGATAGAGGAATCTTTTGCTACACAAGAGTGCATACACTCTTCTATGCAGTGAAAATGACTCTGCTTTCTTCAGTTCCACAACTCATTTACCTCCATTCTCTGCCCACTGAGAATCTGCAGATTCACTAGGAATTTGGTGAAACTTCTGACTATTTTGCAGATGTTTTGAAGGGGCCATGGGAAGTTCAACTGTGTGTACTCAGAATGCTGTGAAATCATTCTTGGATAGAAGCTGGACTGTCCGTTGATAGTTAGGTCAGGATTAGTTCAGAAGACTTGTTGATGCTATGAAATTACACTTAGACTTATTGATTTTGTAGGTGCCTTCATGGATAACACGTGGAGATGAAAACCAATGGCCGTTGTCATCTCAGTGACTAAATGGTTTGTGGAAAACTATGTGTTCAACACCTTCATTGTGCACCAGCAGATCTTTTCAAGTAATTAACTCCTTGAATATCAAGAATGTAAAACAGGTACACAAAAAACTATAAAGGTAGTAAGGAACCTTGATACTTCCAAAATCATAGGAACATCATTGATGTAGGCTTGAGGGCAGTATCAGGTTAATATGATATGTGTGGGTATTGCTTACAATAATGCATGCTATCCAATCTCCCCTATCAGTCTGTGAAATAAGTATGACACCCTGGGGCAAATGTGAGAGGCTTCTTGCAGGCAGACAAGTGCCCTGAGAGCTGAGGGTATCTGTGCAGACTAGACACCAAGTGGCACACCCAGTATGGCATTCATCAGTATGAAGGGTGATTAAGTTCTGGCTTAGCTGATAGAAGTTCAGTTTCAGCTTTAACGATGTATTTGAAAAAGTCACTAGCCAAACTTGTCATTGCCTATTCTCACTCCTGATGGCATGGGCCTCCAATGGGATAGCACAGTTATTACTCGGCAGGCAACTATTCCACATCTAAGTCCAAACCATAGTGGGACACACAAATAGTTAATCTCCTGCTCTAGGGGAGATCACAACCTAACATGCCAGACAGTTCTCCATAGTCCAAGGTAAAAATAAGCCCTAATGAGAGAATTTCAAAGTGGTATGCAGTCCCATAGGCTTCAGCATGTAATTGTGTATGGGTACAGGAGAAGCTTCAGAGGAAAGAGCTGTGTTAATAAGAGGGTTAATTCTGAAACTGGTCATTCTGACCAGATATACACAAGACAGATTGTATTGAAAATGCAAAATTAACAGATTGACCCTTAAGCCATTATAGCAGTGGTCCTGGAAGATGACCATGAACCAAAATTTTTAACTGAGTAATGAGACATAAGGTAAATTTTTTACTTTTTATAGGTTCAGAAGCATGACTCAGATGTGATCTGTATTTGAACATTTTATGAAGTTAAAGGGATGCATAATGAGAAAAACTTATGGTAATGTAGTGTTTGTTTTCATACTTAAGATATAGCTACTGAACATTTCTATGACTTTCAACCTGAAACACAGTTTTGTGATAGTTTGAAGTTGCATTTTATTGTTAGAAAATGCTTTAGTGTTGTACAGCTGAAGAGACTGATGAACATCATTCAAATTTCTCATCTCCTTCTTCCACATCTTTCAAATTGAGTACTTCCAAAGAACCTTTGCCTTTTGTCTCCTTTTTTATTAGCTCATCAATTTCTCTGAAGCAGCCAGGGTCAATCAGACACACCTGAAACATTTAACACAGCTGTTTACCATGTGAAGAGCACTACAACAGAATGAACACAACTTTAACTTCCTCTAGGACAGACACAATACTTTCCATACATCTCAACTACTGCAGTCCTACAGTGCAGCAGAGAAGGCAATGCATGGAGCAGCAGACTGGGTTCTCGTCCAGCCTCTGTCCTAAAGTATGCGTGTCAGCCTGGTGACAAGGCATTGACCTCTGTGTTTGAGCACTTTTCCAGATTCCTCAGCTGTAAAAAACAAAATGGTTGGACTAGAAGACTATGGTCTTTTCCATACTAAAATTTAGACTTCAAGGCCAGTGCTCGTGTCCATCTTGCTTATCCTCCACCTTAGTTTTGTGTTGGATAAAGACACCAGGAAGGTGGAAATAAAGCTCAGCCCCCTCCTGTGCTATCAAGTCTCATCCTTAGGCCCTGGAGGTTTCAGGGTTGGGCATTAGGTCTCCTCATAGTACTTATTTTTGTTGCCAGCCAGACCAGATCTGGGTCTCCTGTCCTAGTCCTTATTAGGATGGGGCTTCTCCTTTGGTTCCTGCATCTTTGCTTCTGGAATTGAGTCCAGAGTTCAGTGCTCCATAAACTGTGCTTTAATAACTAAGTGTTTAAGCTGGAAATTAAAATATAAACATCGTTGGTTAAAATAATTCCTAAAGACTTGAAGTTTAAATCATCTTTATAACAACAATTAAAGTAAAATAGAAACAGGGAGGGGATCATCTTAAGGATTTTATCAGAACAGTAGTTGAGTTTTAGTGTTAACAGAAAGTGTCTCCCTATGTTATCAAACAACAGTACTTTTTCTAACACTACAGGAAAAATTTTGACCTTGTAACTTCAATTGAAGTTATTTTAAAACAGGGTATTTCTGGTAATTTGTATTAGTAGTAAATTCTATGTGCTCATAAAACCAATCAGGACCTGTTTGGTTAAAAACTTCTGACCATAAAATAGTTTTATGTTTGAGTGAAAACCTATTTATATTCTAGAATATCTCTTTTGAGGATTAAGTAGATTTTAAAACACTTGCATGTTGTCTACTTAAGTGTTCAAATACCAAAATAATTAATTCAATTACATCCCAAATCATTAAGACTTATCAGGGGTTTGTTAGAACAGGTCTATTCTAAGCATCCCTCATATGACTTAATCCTGCTAAGAACTTGCTAACCCTACCAACAAGTAGAGAAAGAAGGGGGTTAAGGAAGCTGTCTAGAAACACAAGCTGTAGTTTAATAAAAATAAACAGTGGTTTCATTGCTTGCATACTTTAGCTACATTAATATAAACTTTAAGAACTAGAAATGACTTTATTTACCAAGAATAATCTAGGTTATGGCAGCATGTTCAATGAGTATTACTTAAGTCTTACACAGTCATGTACCTATTTTGAAGGTAATCAGGAAGTCATCATTGAAGCTTTATATTAGATCACAATAGTTACTCCTATACATACATTTCATTAGGTGGAAATAAGACATTGTTTCATTTTTGAGCACAAACTCTTTTTGTCATACAGACATATCCTCCCATTTATCTTACTATAATGCACAAAACTTATCTTTTTATTCACAAGAGTTGCCTCAAATAACTTTTATCTTGGAAAGTCACAAAGGCACGAGACAGTAACAAAATGCAACTCTGGACTTTATATTTTGGATTTTTCATTTTTGCCTAAAATCCCACTTTAAAATCAAAGTGAAATTAATTTCCCACATTATAATACTTATTTAGGGAAGTCTTTGTGTATATGTTTAACATAAAATGGAAGGTCAAATAGTTTGAGCAAGTACTTGGCAGATCACAGAAAGAACAGAACTGTGGGAAATGAAAATGCTTTAGTGTTTTACAGCTGAAGAGACTGATGAACATCATTCAAATTTCTCATCTCCTTCTTCCACATCTTTCAAATTGAGTACTTCCAAAGAACCTTTGCCTTTTGTCTCCTTTTTTATTAGCTCATCAATTTCTCTGAAGCAGCCAGGGTCAATCAGACACACCCGAAACATTTAACACAGCTGTTTACCATGTGAAGAGCACTACAACAGAATGAACACAACTTTAACTTCCTCTAGGACAGACACAATACTTTCCATACATCTCAACTACTGCAGTCCTACAGTGCAGCAGAGAAGGCAATGCATGGAGCAGCAGACTGGGTTCTCGTCCAGCCTCTGCCCTAAAGTATGCATGTCAGCCTGGTGACAAGGCAATGACCTCCGTGTTTGTGCACTTTTCCAGATTCCTCAGCTGTAAAAAACAAAATGGTTGGACTAGAAGACTATGGTCTTTTCCATACTAAAATTTAGACTTCAAGGAAATCATCTTTTTATCTAAATCTGAAGGGGAAAAAGAAGCTTGAAGGCCTTTTTAGAAACCACGTGTAAACTTTTGAAAAGACTAGAACTTCAAAGAGTGTCAGATGTGTTGTTTCACATCCAGAGTAGAATGCTCAGTTCTGTAGAGCTGACTGGCTAAAGAAATTGCAGTGTGAAGGCATGAATTTACAAATAGCTGAATTTATAGTATGTCTAATGTTCTGTGGTAAATGAGGCTGACCAACTTTTAATCTTACTTCTAATTTCATCATAATAGAAGACACACCGTAAAATATACAGTGGATCCTTGAACTACGTGGGTTTGAACTTGTGGGTCCTTTTATATGTTGGTTTTTTCAATAGATGTAAAATTTTTTGGAGATTTGTGACAATTTGAAAATATTTTCTTTATTTTATTATAAGAATACAATATATAGTACATATAACTTACAAAATAGGTATTAATTGTCTATTTATGTTATTGGTAAGATTTCGGGTCAACAGTAGGCTAAAGAGTTAAGTTTTTAGGGAGTCAAAAGTCATAGATGGACTTTCAAGTGCAGGGGTGGGGTGCCCAAACCCTGAGTTGTTCAAAAGCTAACTGTATTCTTTCATCTAAGATGAGCATGACCAACATAATTTTATCATGAATAATATAACTAAAACACAAAGAAATTTAACTGAAAAGCAAAAAACAAACAAAAAAGTGCCTAACTACAATTTAGTTCTACCTATACCTTGAGATTTTTGTCCAATTCTAGGTGAGATGTTTCTGGAAATATTGTTTACACCTTCTAAATGTTTGTTAGACATTTATGACTAGAGAATAAACAATTTAGGTAACATGGAAACAAAGAAATAAGAGCATTTTAATCTTACAATTTCTAACTGTTGACCGTAGTCTTCACTTTCTATAACCTTGATCAGTGGCTTGAGCTTTTCTTTCAGCTTCTTCCCTTCATTCACTGGAAGAATGAACCGAAGTCTCATGTGAGCACGTTCTATCTTCATTTTCTCCTTTAACTGTTTTATCACTTCCAAAGCCTATCAAAATAAAATCGAAATGTTTGTAATTTCTTTGCCCCTTCTGCTGCAGTATTTCATAGGGTATTCAAAACAAGGTGGTTTCCATCCAGCTGAATTAGCCAGTGGCTTCTCACACATGACATGAACATAAACGACAGAAAAAAATAAATTGGACTTCAAGATGAAAAACTTTCACGCTTCAGAAAACTATCAAGAAAGTGAAAAGTCAACACTTAGAAGAAAATATTGCCAAATCATACACTGGAAAAGTTTCAGTATCTAGAATATATAAAGAACTCTTACAACTCAATAATGAAGAGACAAATAATTAAAAAATGTTCAAAGGATCTGAATAGTGATTTCTCCAAGGAAGACAAAGGGCCAATAAGCACACGAAAATGTGCTCAAATTATTAGTCATTAGGGAAATGCAAATCAAAACCAGAATGATACCCCGAGGATGGCTATAATCAAAAAAGGCAAAAAATACTGTTGAAGATGTGGAGAAACTGGAACCCTGGACACTTTGGGAATGTAAATGGTGCATTTATTTTGGAAAATGGTTTGACAGTTCCTCAAAAGGTTAAATACAGTTACAATACTCTGTTCTTGGATACAGAGAAATGGAAACTTATGCCCACACAAGAACTCTAATGAATTTCAGTGCAGCATTATGCATAATAGCTAAAGAGTGGAAACACAGATGTCCATCAACTGATGAATGAATCAACAAATGTGGTATGTCCATACAATGGGATATTATTCAGTCCTAAAGATGAATGAAGTACAGACACAGGTCACAACATGGATGAACCTTCAAAGGGCCACATAGTGTAGGATTCATTTATATGAAATGTCCAGAATAGGCAAGTCCATAGAAGCAAAAAGTAAATTTGTGGTTGTCAAATACTTATGAGAGGTGAAAATGAGTTGTGCTAATGGGCATGGAATTCTTTTTGGGGTTATGAAAATGTTCTTAAGGTAGGGAAGGCTGCAAAAATTGTCAATATAAATTGAATTGTATACTTTAAAAGGGTTACTAAAAAAATCTGAAATGCAGTTAAAGTGACTATTTAGAAATCTGTGTTTAAAGGCTCGATTTGGATAGGAAGCTGAGAGCCCTGGTGTACCTGTGTTTAGTCAAAAAAATTCCATTACTTCTCTTTATATCTTCCCTTCCCCTCCCCAAAACTTCCCACACATTTGCTTCCAAGTAGTATCATTTTGTTATTACTGACTTTAATGTTTTCTTCAGAGAAAACTGATTTTCATGGACACTTTTTGATGATGCCAAAAACTACTCACCTGCTGTTTTGAACTCTTGTTGGTTTTGACTGAATAGTGGATGTCCTTCATGGCTCTCTCGATAAGGATAACAGTGTATGGTCTCTTTGTTTCAGGGTTCACACATTTGTCAGCTACAATAGTTGCGATGTCCCTAAACATCTGTTCCAGCTGTGTGTGCCGTTCTTTATCTGATACTTGAACCTCTCCTTTAGTCAAAATCTAAAAAACCCCAACAAATTTAAGGAAGCAATGTCTTTATTATACACTATTTGTTAACTAGCCACAATAAAAAACTGAGGAGAAAATTAAATTTTATTTCAACTGATATGTAGGTAATGATTTGAGCTCTGCCTAAAGGATGCACTGGGTTATTTTGTGCTCCAAAATCTTACTTATTTAGGTGGGGAATGGGAAAGGGATTCTAACAAATGGTGTAAATGATGAAATACCTGAAAAAAAAATTCTGTTTTTAGGTGTATACCCTAAAAATACATAAATGGCCAAAATAAGGCAATTGAGTAGAAAACTTAATTTCTGGAGGATTTGGCAATAAATAGCCATATCCTAAATTATTTAAAGTGATGCTGTGTGGATCACATTATTATATAGTAGCTCTTCAAAAAAAAACAACAAACAATAAAATTCAACGTATGTTTAAGTACTTATACTACAAACAGATGTTATCGTCAGTTATGCTGCATCTGTTAGAACCCACCTGTTTACAAATTTCAGTCTGATCATCTGTTCCAAATGCACTGATCAGATCTTCCTTCTTCGCAACCTGACCTTTAGAAACATTTACAAACACTGAGTGGGTCTGTAGAACTTCGTCAAGATCTTTTTCCCTTGTGATGGAATAAAAGTCCTAAGTGAATACACTTGAAACTTGGGAGACTGACATTTAAATACAAGAAAGCAACGATTATAAATAGCAAGGAACGACAAATACTCCTAAATGACTCTTAGTGTTGAGGGAACATTTTCAAAACTCAGAACCGCATTCGTAGTCCCATTTACTTATCAGAGAAAAACGTCGTAGGAGTGCGTGTGACACAATGGGCGGTGACGGGCGGGCTGCTGCAGCGGAACACCGATCCCTAGATGGCAGCAGTGCAAACGCTACGCACTAGAGGGGAAGCTACAGGGCGGAGGTCTGTGACGTCTGATGTGCTGTAACTACGGAAGTATGTGGAAGACGAGGCCCAAGACTAACATTATTCTAAAACAGGGCCATAACCATAGGATTTTCTTGGCTGAGGCTCTTATGACACCAACAAAACCAAAACAAACCCAAAGCCAACAACCCAAACACACCAACCGAACAGCAAAGGAACCCTTGGTTCAGGAGCTAGGCTCAGGAAGGGCAGTGACTTCTTAACGCTCACAGCAGGAATAAATTTTCCAATTTCTTCCCTGACAAGACCCCAGCTAGTCTCATTTATTCAACGCTAGGGGGAGGCCGCCTAGGAGGGAGCTCCGGCCAGAGACTGGAGGAAGAGGGTCACTCACACGCCGCTCCGCCAGCCAACGACCTTGTTTTTGTAGCAGGCGATTTCAAAGCGCTTCCCGGAGCGCTTCATCCGTACCACCGCCACATTGGTTAAGCGGATCTGATTGGTGGGAGTGAAGATCGACATAGCGGCTGCTCACAGACTTTGGGTCTGGCAAACTTAGGCAGACCCACGCCGCCGGCCTGAGGAGCCACCCAGCGCCTTGCCGTAACAACCGGCGGCTTACGGCCTTGTAATGTTCGCAGAGAGCGCGGTGACGTGACAATCTCAGCGGAGCCGCCCCTCAAAAGAGTACACCCAGTTGACTTATTGCGCAGGCGTCTGGTGTTGCGGAAACCGGGCGAGGAAAAGTGACCTTGCGCATTGCGGCTTTTACGACATCGTTCCGCTCCCTACCTGGAAGGCGCTCTTCTTTGACGTAATTTACCTTTGCCGATGATGTAACGAAAGCTAGTTGGTGAACCTGGTGTTTAGTGACCGGGTGTAAACTCAGCCCCGGCATCTCAGAGTTCCGCGGAGTTCAGGGCCACACCCACCTTCATCTCTTATTATGGAAAAATTGTAACATAAAATACCTAGAGAAAAATGTGTAATGAATCCCTCTGTCCCCATCATCCCAATTTAACAATTATCAACATTTTGCCCTTGTTTCATTCTCCCTTTTTGTTGGATATTTTAAAACAAATGACAGGTTTTTCAAAATTTAGGTTTCATACAATAAAATGCACAAACCGGTGTAAATCTCCATGCATTTTCATTACACAGTTTAAAAAAGCTTTAAATACTTCAGTCAATACTCTTAACAGATACACCTAACAAGATTAGCCATGTTTTCTTACATATCTAATAGCCAGTCCATTATCAAATTTCCCATAAATAATTCCTTTTTACAGCCAGTGTGTTTCAGCTGGGATCCCTCAGATAGCATTTGGTCCACGACGCTCTTAATTTCTTTTAACGTCCCTCTCCTTTCCCTCCATGCCACTCCAGCCTTGACTTTGCTTCTCTCCCGACTCGCGCCTACTACCTCTGCCCGCTACTACGAGGGCCTTGGGCGCTCCAGATCCCTCTCCCGGAGCCCTGGGCGGTGCTTCCTCTGGGCCCGCCCCTTCCCTCTGAGCAAATCCTAGCTCGACGCGGACCGCAGCTTGCTCCTGGGCGTGGTCTGCACGTTCTGCCCTCTCAACCTACTCCTTCACTGCCCAAGATTCCTGAGGGGCCGACGAGTGGCTGTGGAGGCCGCAGCTCCCCGAACTCGGGCAATAAGCTCATGTTGCGAGCTGGTGGTGCTGGCGGTCCCCGCGCCGGCCGCCAGGCTTCTCGGGTCTGCGGTGCTAGTCTCGCGGGCCTCGGGCCGGGCTCTGAGGAGAATGGGTAAGGGCCCCGGAGGGCACGGCCGGTGGGGCGGGAGGGAGAAACCGTTTTTCGGAAACCCTCTCCTGGGGAAGTGGCGTCCGGGGCCCCTTCTTCAGTGTTGTGCTTGTCAGCCCGAGGCTGGCGCCGTTGGGAGCAAGGGAGGACTGATCTCTGCGTTTACCTGGCTTTTCCTTTTGAGGCTAGTGGGTTAGTTTAGTAGGAACAATGCTTGTAACCTCAAGTAAAGGCAGAGAAACCAATCCCCCTCTTCCTGCGCCTTACGCACGTGTGCTGAGGACCTTTGGTCCTTTCCAGGTTGCGTCAGCATCTGTAAGGCCACAAAGTTTAGGCTTTGCTTTTTGAAATTGCCCCGCCCCCCGCCGAGTTCAACAGTTGAGGCCGGGTCCATCCATACCTCGCTCCGAAAAATGGGGCGTGAGGTCAGTTATTTGAAAACCCTTTACAGGTAGCCATGGGTCTTTAAATGTAAAATTAGAAAAAAGGGAGTACTTTTAGTACCTTTTAAAGCTTTTCTTAAGCGCAAGTACTCAAAGCAAAATTACTCAAAAAAATCCACTTAGTGTCTATATTCAATGAAGGTACAAGTCTATGTTCTTTTTTTTTTTTTTTTGAGTTTGCACAGACAGGTATGCTTCGTTTTATTGAGCTGCACTTTATTGCGCTTTGCAGATTCTGTATTTTTTACAAATTGAAGATTTGTGGCAACCCTGCACAGAGTAAGTCTGTTGGGGCCGTTTTTCCAACAGTAATCGCTCACTTTGTGTCTCTGTCACATTTTGGCAGTTCTTGCAGTATTTCAGACTTTTTCATTATTCTGTAATGGTGATCTGTGATCAGTGATTACGACTTGCTAAAAGTTCAGGTGATGGTTAGCATTTTTTAGTAATAAAGTACTTTTTAATTAAGGTATGTGCATTTGTTTATAGATATAATGCTGTTGAACAGTACAGACTACACTGTAGTGTAAACATAACTTATATGCACTAGGAAACCAGAAAATTAATTTGACTCATTTTATTTTGATACCTTATTGCGGTGGTCTGGAACTGAGCCTCCAAGTATCTCTGAGGTGTGCCTGTAGTGTATTACTTTTTATTAGAGTTGATTTTTATAGATTTCTTAGCCAGGTTGTTGAATATGAGATTGGCTTTATTTAACTTTAATAAAATAAAATGTAGCTTTAAATAAAATTATATATGTGTATCATTTTAAATTTAGATCCTTCTTTGGATACATGGGACTTCTCTTCACCTTTAATATCATTATGGATAAACAGGTTTTATATATATTTAGGCTTTGCCTTTGGCATTAGCCTTTGGATTTGTTTCCAGATTGTCATCAGGAAGCAGGTGAGTGGAGTTATTTTTTATGGGAGAGCACTAAGACATCAGTCATAGAGAACTTAGAATGCAGATTTTCTAAGCCTTTCAAAAAATAGAAAAAATCTGAAAGGAACTTTAAGTCATTTTTATGTTTTGTCTATAGTCTTTTTTTAATACCTAAGACAACTTATTTTCAGTTTTTAGAGACTAAGTTATTATGGACTAAGCGTTTTCTTTGATAGGCTGCGGATGTCTCATTCTTAAGATTCTGGAAGATTTTGTAATGAAAATTAAACTTTTGTAAAAAAAAAAAAAACCACAAATCTATTTAGCACTTTTAAAGGGTAGTAGTTTTCTCGTTTCTTTCCATGAATTTGGGATCAGAAAATAAGTTACTACTGTTATTCCACTAAAAATGCATTACAGATGAAAGTATGTGTAGTTTTATCCTGTAGGGCATGAGAATCATTATAGTTTTAAGAAAGGTGGGTCTTGCCATTAAAGGACCTAATTATACCAAGGGGTTAATATTTGAGGAATATACCAGAGAGATTAAGAGAATAATAAAATGAGCCATTATCTGTGCTAATTTTCATCCCTGTCAAAGTTGGGGGAAAATTTGAACTTGAGGATTTTGTGTAATTGTTTTTCAAGGACAAGAAGTCAAAGGAGAAAACTGTTCCAAAAGCAACTCAGAATTTGATGACAAATGGTTATATCTCCCTTCAAAAGAAGGAATTTGTGTCTGGAGTGAAGATTTTCTATGGATCCCAGACTGGTACAGCAAAGGTAAGAACTTTATATGGTACTTTTCCTTGGGTTTCGTGATTAAAAAAAAAATCCCTGAAAAGCATCCTTTGGCAGTGAACAGAATTGTTTTCTGATCTTCTTTTATCATCTTTTCTCCCTTTTCCAGCACATTTTTCCTTGCTGGTATGGTGGGTGGCTTTTATCTCTTGTGCCCAATTCCAGCTGATGGGTGGTGTCTGCTGGACACTGTCATGAGGGGTCTGTGTTCTGAAGCTTGCTTCTGCCTTGCTTCTGCAGAATGGAGAGGACCATTACTGATGTCAGTGGCCATGGAAGTAGGGAATAGTGAAAGGACAATGGCAGCAGTAGTGTCCAGTGTGGACCCTGACTTTCATAAGTTAATACACTCTATTTAATGAAATGTATTTTGATTTCTATTTGTGTTAAAAGTAGGTTCCACTATAGATACATAGGTGAAAGATACTTTCCATCCTTTAATTGTATTTAGATGTTGTCTGCTTCTTTGTTATGAAGGTCACAACTATATAGTGCTTTCTAGGAAAAGATTCTAAAGCTAACATGGAAATGAATTAAAAAACGTGATATCCGTTATTTTGGTGTAGACTAAAGAGAGTTCTACTGCCCTCTTGTGGATATTTTGTAGAATAACGCTTTTCAGTGTTCAGTACTTGAGTACAGGTACTTTGCTCCACATCATAGTAGAAGGTTACTTATTAAGTAAGTTGAACCTTAAGCAACAGGGAAACTGAAAGAAATATAAAAAAGGCATCTGAGTAGCCAGAACAGTTCTTTAATGTTACATCAAAGATCTCATTCATAGCTTCTTTTTATGTGTGTCTGTAAAATTTTTTTAAAGATTATATTAATTCTTGGCATATTGCAGCAAATCCAGGTATACAAGGGTTCACAATGAAATGTACTCTCCAGGAACCTCTCTTCTAACTATTTATATTTTTAGTTTCTCTGATGGTTATTTCTTTAACCTGCTGATACTGTGTTTCTAGATTTGGCAATGTCAGATACAAGTATTGGCACCTTATGTTAGTTAACACAAACATTCCTCAATTACCAGTGGCTTACTTACTGTTGTTGCCTATATGGTAGCTGATGGGGTTAGGTAGCTTTCCTTAAAGCTATGCCATCTCAATTTCTTTGTTCTTTCACTTTGATTGATTTGTATTTGGCTTGGTATAGAAGATTAGGTATAAAAATTTGTCCTTACAACTTTGAAGTCAGCACTTCACTGTCTTCTAGGAGGCAGTATTGCTGATGAGCAGTCTAGTTCCCCTTATTCCTTTGGAGATGACTTGATATTTTTGTTCTTGAAGCTCTTAGGATAATTTCTTTGTCCTTGATGTCTGGCACTTTTGTGAGACAGTGTGTAGGTTGAATTTTTTCATCCACTGTGCTGGACACTTGGGCTCTTTTTTTGCAAGGTGTGTGTGCAGTAATTCTGCCAATATTTCTTGAATAAAATTTTTCCCTTCTGTTTTCTCTGTTCTTTCTGGGACTCCTGGTAGCTGGAATGTGGACCCTTTTAGATGGTCTTTCGCAAATCTTTTCATTGTAGTTTTTGTAACTTTTCCTTTCCATGCTGGGTTTTGGATATCAATTCCAAACCTTTTTTCAAATGTTTTATTTTAGCTGTTATGTTTTTAACGGCAAATATACAATTTTGCTCAATTTTTATAATCTATTCATAATTTGAGAATATATCTTAATTCTTGTTCCCTGATTTATCTGCATTCTCAGTTTTTCTGCTGCTGGTTTTTCTCTTTCCTGCTGCTTGTTCTCAACACGTTCTTGGTGGTCTGTGGTTTTCTGTTCATATTTAGGACAGATAATGGGGTAGCTGGT